AACAAAAAAGTTACAGGTGATCAGAATGATATCGAAGATAAAAAAACACCCGGTACAGGGGGATTAAAAAATAGGAAAATATGCAGGGTTTTTTGGTAAAAGTAGAAAAAAAATGGCACATCACTATTTTTTTAAACCTTTGATATTTTTTTCAGATTAAGCAAGTCATATTTCAGTCAAAAGAAACCTTTCGTTATCACAAATCAACCTGCCAAATTTAAAAAAAAAAAAAAAATGGAAAAATTTTTGAGCTGAAAAAACGATTTTTTCTAAAACTTTGACACCCTGTATCTCAGAAACTACGCATTTCTGGTCACATATTTATGGGAACTTTTTTTGTTAAAATATCATAAGGAATGACATCCTGAAGTTACGGACCGTACTTAGGAAATACCCTGTATATTTTTCTATTTTTTGACCACCATGTGCATGCTATTTCAACTTTTAATACATAGTTTGATATTATTTTTTCAAGAAGCAGAAACTCTTATAAAGGATAACTTTTTTTCGTAAAATTGATAATAAAAAAGTTTCCCATGTGCTGCGAACTTAAGTGGATACACTGTATTTTATGAGAAAATTTCATGAATCAAAAATTCAAATTTTTTGTCAAAACACCAGTTCTCGCATTAGTTACTATGCAATAATTTACACTAATATAAATTATCACGTAATTCCAATCTGATTGGTTCAAATCAACAATCAAAACATGTCAGTTTATTGTTGGTATATCAGTTTTGACAAATGTATGAAATTCTTATAAAAAAAACGGCCACTAAAATCAAAAATCGACGTATCCGAGATTTTTTGAAAAAAAATCAACCTTGTATTTTTGATGGATTTTATTCCTAACCTTCACGTACTAACTGTATTTAACTATGCTATATGATATCCTCTTTCGTTTATTGAATTCTAGTAAAGTTATCTTTGTTCGTTTTGAGTTCATTATGAAATATATTCACCATAATTATTTACACAAACTAATAACTGGCCTTGCAGTCCTCTCGCGTCGTGTAATTTTTACTTACCCCGGTGCGAAATTAAATCCGCCAGAGGCAGCACGTCGCTGCAGCCAAAATTTTTGAATTTCCGTGTTTGCAGGGCTTACAATTTGAGACGAGATCTCAAAAACTACTTAATATTTTTGAGTGAATCAAGAAGATTCGAAAAGATAATAAAATTTAGAACAATGCTCTTGTTTCATTTTTTTTAAAAAAGCGATGGGTTTGGATGTACCGAGCGATAGAAATGATGCTTTTTTTCGAGTATTTAGGTCGTGATATTTTCAATTTGCAATTTTTTTTTCGAAAAACTAAAACAACAGCATTATTCTTTAGATTTTTATCTTTTATTATTTTCTAATCCGGTCAAAAAATATTACAAAATAAGTGAGTTCTCGTCTCAGGAAATTAACCCTTTTTCTCAATTTTTAACGGCTTGTTGTTGGCCTCTTAATTGAAGTTATAAACAATGATGACGAATTGATGAAAGAACGATTTTCAGATTCATTCATTCACAAAGTTGATATTCTTGTTGGAGCTTCTAGAAAAGGATCTGAATAATTTCTTGTATAAAAAATCAGTATTTCAAAAGGATTTTCTCGTCTATCTCATTCTATTTCATCCGCCAACCGCTGCATTATCTATGATGTCTTCAATTTCAATAGGTTCATTAACAATAGCTCGCTTTCCATACTTTATAATATACTTAATAATGGGCTCACAAGCCAGTTATTTTATAGGGAATAGGAAGCAAAATACAAAATCAAAGTACTCTGACAAAATAGTCAATAATTATTGACAAAAAACAATTACAAAACAAACTACAAAGTACCGAATTAAGGTTAGAAATACACGTTTTCACCAAAATTTGTAACATTCACCACCCTTTTCGGTGGTGAATCTATTCACCCAATAAAAGGTGAAAATTTTCACCTTTTTTTTTTTCAAGAATATGATTATGTACATTTTTGGTGAAAGCTTAGCAATTTCACCCGGTGAATATTTTCACCACTTTCAAGAATTAGGCCCCTTGGCTATTATACATTAATTTAATTCATAACCATAATGACATATTTCTGGCATTTTTCGACAAGTTTTTAACCTAGAAAGCTTCAGATGACATTATTTTGACATTTTTCCAACCTAGAATATGTCATTGCCTGTCAAAATTTTGTATGTTACACCGAGAGCTCAAATTGGAGTTAATAATTTTTGTACTACTTTTTTTTGATCGCAACTGTACAGGGTGATTCATTAAGAATGGCATTCAGCCATATCTCAAAAACTATTCATCGTAGTCATATCGGAAAAAAATTATCCCATAAATATGGCCAAGAGAAAATGCTGGAAATATATTTCAGCTTTCTAAAATGAGCGTAAGGGGGCGTAACCCAACTGTCAAAGTACAAAAATGGTTTTATTTTTTAAATTTCAAATGGAAACGTATCTCAAAAATGCTAGCAATAGATTTTTGATGAAATTTCACACAAATTTGATTTATGACTTTTTACCATAACTTATCAGATAAGATAGTTATGAGCTGTCAAATATTGCAACTCAAAAAAGCGGATAACTTCAAGCCGACTCAACAAATCTGGTCGATCTTAGGTTCGTTGGAGAGATAAGAGTCTGTTCTTTTAATTTTGTTGTGAAAAATTCAAATTCTGGTTAGTAGGACTGACGCTATGGGTCAATATTTGGAAACAATTGAATGTTTCCAATTTTTCTTAAAATTTTCAAATGGAACGATATATTTAAGATATGTTAAATCGATTTTTGAGGATGTTTTACACAGTGTTTCTTTATTATACCTTCCTACAAACGAATTCCAGAAAGTGTTAAAATTAATTTTATTAAAAATAATCAGTATTTATGAAAAAGCCCTCGTAAATTGAGCAGATACCAGTTAAGTATGTCAGGCTGACACATTTTTAAAACTTCAAAAGCTATTTTCTAAAGTCAAAATGCATTTCCCAAATGGAGAAGCACAGGACATCCTTGAGGTTCTGCATGAATGTAATGGAAATACAGCAATCGCAGCCACTGGAATCTAATTATTTTGAAAATGGAGAATGTTTATAAAAAAAATAATAGACTGGTTTTGGATTATCCCTGTTAGTATTTACAGAAAGAGCAGAATGAAAAATGAATAAATCTACAGTACGCGCACAGCATATACAAAAATAATCAGCAGGCTAACTCTCACGCGCATCTTTTATGCGCACCGCCATTAGGGGATACCATTTTGTCATAACGCTGTCATTGAACGGCAGAAGCGCCGAAATTTTATTTTATTTGTTTATTTCTGACGGAGGTCATAGGCGTGCGGTGTAGAGCGGAATTTTAGCTATGATTTTCAAAATGATTTTGATATATTCGTGTTGTCATTTATGGTGTTATCTGTTATCATTCTTGTATATTCAATAAAAATAATAAATTAGTAATTATTAACATTATTATATGTAAGTAATAATAAATTAGTTCATTTAAAGCCAATACGACTCTGTCACAGGAAAGAAAAAACCTAAATTATCGTTAATCAGGCCCTGTTTCGTATCCCATAATGGCCGCTAGTGACATTTTGAGGATGAATTCCTATATTACACGGGCTGTCACTCAAGTTAGCCTGCTGATTGTTTTTGTATATGCTGTGGTACGCGGGTGCCGAATTTATGCGGAAATGACGTCTAGATTTTAATTTCCAAAATTATTAATAGATGGCACCACCTTTTAAGTAGTTTACTATTCTCAAAATAAATATGTATTTCTTCTTCAAGTTTCGTATCCTACAACATGCTCGTGTATCAATGGCTATCAATACATGATCAATGCATAATATAGTTACTATTATAATTTCTTAACGCACTTTTTTTCCATTATTTGACATTCATCAATGATGACAATCAACTGTCAGAAAAGCGAAGTCATTATTTACGAGGGCTTTTTCATAAATATTGATTATTTTTGATAAAATTAAATTTAACACTCTCTGGTATTCGTTTGTAGGAAGGTATAATGAAGAAAAACTGTGTAAAATATCCTCAAATATCGATTGAACATATCTTAAATATACCGTTTCATTTGAAAATTTCAAGAAAAACTAGAAAAATTCAATTGTTTTCAAAAATCCAACCATAGAGTCAGTCCAACTAACTGAAGTTGGAATTTTTTACAACAAAATTAAAGAGCGGACTCTTGTCTTTCCAACGAACCTAAGATCGACCCAATTCGTTGAGTCGTTTTGAAGTTATTCGTGTTCTTATGTTGCAATATTTGACAGCTCATAACTATCTTATCCGATAAGTTATGGTAAAAAGTCATGAATCAAAATTGTGTGAAATTTCATCAAAAATCTATTGCTGGCATTTTTGAGATACGTTTCCATTTGAAATTTAAAAAATAAAACCATTTTTGTACTTTGACAGTTGGGTTACGCCCCCTTACGGTCATTTTAGAAAGCTGAAATATATTTCCAGCATTTTCTCTTGGCTATATTTATGGGATAATTTTTTTCCGACATGACTACGATGAATGGTTTTTGAGATATGGCCGAGTGCCATTCTTAATGAATCACCCTGAACATGCAGGTAGGTATATTCAAATTAGTAACATTGTATTATTTATATATTATCTGTTTTCTATCCATTGCTTTTGTTTTTACAATAAAATATTTGCTTTAGCCAGGAAAGCATAATGTCTAAAGTCGGGAAAAGTATTCTATTTTCCGCATAAAGCTAACGCGCATCTGCATGTAGTAAATGTTACAACATTCCGTATGAGCGTTTCGCACCGATTTACATTCCGTATACATATTTCGAATCTGGATCAATGAAATTGGTTTGGGTGCTAAATAGATGTACATAATGCCTTATTGCTACGTGGACTTATCAGGTGATTTACTTTTTCTACCTGTAATACATGGAAGGATATCAAAGAATTACAATTAAATTAACAGCGTTCCTCTCTTGAACATGGATTGCATTATCATGATTTTTTCAGTTAGCAAAATATATCTGCCGTAACTGTAACTGTGGCGACACGGAAGAATACATGCTGCTATGCGACGGTTGTGACGACAGCTATCACCCTTATTGTTTGATTCAATCATCAGCAACTATTATCTCAAAAGGTGATTGGATGTGTCCCAATTGTGTTGCAGAAGAAGTATCTAAACCTATGGTAGCTTTTGGGTTTGAACAGGCCGAGAGGGAATATACTTTACAACAGTTCGGAGACATGGCTGATAGTTTTAAGTCAGATTATTTTGATATGCCAGGTCATGTAAGTAGCTACTATTATTATCATTGATTGAAGTTGCTAGACATCCAAATTGTAGATGGTTCCAACCAGTACGGTTGAACGGGAATTTTGGCGCATTGTGTCTACAATAGATGAGGATGTGATGGTAGAATATGGAGCCGATTTACACACGATGGATCATGGGTCTGGGTTTCCTACAAAATTATCTTCAAACCTTTTGCAAGGGGATAAAGAATATGCGGAATCCAGTTGGAATTTGAATAACTTACCTGTACTTGATGGATCAGTTTTAGGTTATATTAATGCTGATGTATCAGGAATGAAGGTATTAAAAAAAAAAAAAATATAACTATAGACTATAAATTCAGTAATATTTTATCTAGGTTCCATGGATGTATGTTGGTATGTGCTTTGCAACATTTTGCTGGCACAACGAAGATCACTGGGCCTATTCTATTAACTATCTTCATTGGGGTGAACCTAAAACATGGTATGGAGTTCCAGGTAGTGAGGCGGAAAAATTTGAAGAAACGATGAAATCGGTAGCTCCCGAATTATTCCATTCTCAACCGGATTTATTGCATCAACTCGTCACAATTATGAATCCAAATATTCTTATGAATGTTGGTGTACCAGTTTACAGGACCGATCAGCATGCTGGAGAATTTGTTGTTACTTTTCCGAGGGCTTATCATGCAGGATTCAACCAAGGGTTAGTTTTTTTTTCAATAACTAATTTTCAGTGGTTTTACATGTTATGCATTATAACATTATTTAAATAATGTGTTTGTTATAGGTATAATTTTGCTGAAGCAGTGAACTTTGCTCCTGCGAACTGGTTGAGAATGGGTAGGGAATGTATGCTACATTATTCACATTTAAAGAGATTTTGTGTATTTTCCCACGACGAGCTTGTTTGCAAAATGGCGCTGGATAATGATAAGCTGGATTCAGCTGTTGCAGCTGAAACCTATCAGGACATGCTTGTTATGATGGACACTGAAAAGAAATTACGGAAAACGCTACTTGATTGGGTGAGTTGACTTACTGTAAATTTAAAATCTGGAATTTGTTTCCACATCAAACACAGGGCCGATCCTAGCAGCTATGGGATCACGAAACTCGATCCCGTTCAATCGAGCAATCGTCTATCGAGTCGACAAACTCATTCATGGTGTTCGATCGAGAGGAGAATCGAGAAACTCGATTCGATTTTTTTTTTGGACACGCTCTGAAACTTAGTGAGCAAGTGCCAAGGACAAAAAGACCAAAAACAGAAGAAAATATAAACATGCATTTTCTTGGGTACGTTAGGATGTATTATAAGGTCTGTTCCCACAGAAATCACAAACCAGTCAGAGCGAATTTCATTGATTGAAAATAGTCAGGAAACTGTTTTTTTGCAATTTGGACAAATCAAAAACGCTCTGACTGGTTTGTGATTTCTGTGGAAACAGACCCTATATTATCGGTCTATAATGTTGTACGTCTTCCGATTCGATCTCCAACCGTTTCTGTGAATCCAGGCATCTTCCTCCAAGCCCCTATCTCTCATTTCCTCGTCTACTCCACTTTTCAGCTTCTTCTTGGGCCGCTGCGTCTTCTTCTTCCCCCTGGCTTCCACTCAATGATTTGCTTGTATAGTCTCGTATCTGCCATTCTTTATACGTACATGTCAGAACCAAACTACCAAATCAGTTGTTTGTCTTCAACTTATCTACCTACTATTGTGTAGCTTTCGCTTACGTTCATAATTTCTCTAATTCCCTGGTTTGTTGTCCTTTCCATTTTGGCCTTGCCTGTCGCACTTCTCCAAAAGTCCATTTCAGCTGGTTCCAGCATTTTTGCGGTTCTGTCCTTTCTATTCTATCTATTTAGTTTTCTTTCAATGTTTTCTAATAGTGCTTTATTTGATGTTAGGTTTCGATGTGGGATCGTCAGCGACCAGTTGTGGTTTATACAATCGTGTATATTGTTGAACTTTACTGGCGTAGATGTAGTCAAAGGGTTGAGCACAAATGATTTTAGGTTTGTCCAAGCTGCAGGGATCACGTGAGTAATGTATAGCTGTGTATCTACTTCCTTGCAGGGGAATCTCTTTGGTATTATTATTTTATCATTTATTTTTAGGTTACACTGGCATGGCATGAGGACTTTGATTGCCCCTGGTTGTGCTGTACCCTTTTTTCTCTAGGACTGTGGACTTCTTTGGGCAATCTACTTTTATATCTCCCTGGGGGTGGGTTATAATAAATTGGTCGTCTCCGATTTCCGTGATAACCAGGAGAGTTGATTTGTGACACCTCATAGGGCAGTGGGTGGTCAGGTCTTCCACTGTAGTGCCTTGAAACAGTTTTGTGGCACACGAAGGGCCCTGGAGTGTGTCGCCTGAAAACCTTGGCAGGTAGCATAGCTTATTTTCATACGGGTTACATAGATGAATACCCGTTCCTGTTATCTGTCTTGTGGTTTTGCTCTCATGGTAGTCATTACCTCCAGCTACCGCCATATAGAGTGTGTTGTGTTCGATGATACATGTCTGACCCTGCCATGAAAAAGGGTACGTCTGTAATTCAAATAGTTGCCATTGACGGTTCTTCTCGTTTGTAGGAACTTTTATATGAATTACTAGTTTGTTGTCTGTGAAACTGCAGTCACAAATTGGGAGCTCATAGTACTTAGAGATTTCCTGCGTTTGGATTACCAGTTCGTGTTCCCTGTTTTTGAGCTCTGTGTTCAGGTGTTTCCAATCTTCCTCAAGTATTTGGAGAGTTACAACCGCCATTGGTATGTGGTGGTGTTTGCAAGAATCTAAGATACTTTGTCTTTTCATGGTTCTGGTAACTGTCACTACCTTTCTTGCCAGATCTATGTTATTCTTTAAGATCAAGTATATTAGGTTACGCTGTGTTGCCTCTTCTTTCAAAAACTCATTGCCCACCGTTTCTACAAAATTCTCCAGGTTTTTGATTTTCGTTTCAGTTGTTTTTAGAGCCGCTGCTGTTTCTTCTTGGGATTGTTTCATGTAAGATGATTGTTCTCCTATTACTTTAATCGCTGATTCAAGCCCTTGCGTTACTGAGTCCAGTCTTGATCTTAAGGAATCTGTGTCCATGACTAAAGAGTCTAGTTTCTGTTGTGTGGCCACCCCGCAGCACCAGTTAAGTCCGTCCGCTATGAATGACACGGAGATTGCTCTCTTTGCCTTCTTTGATTTTTTCAGGCGAGTAGTGATCCCATCGTTATTTAGGCTGCTTATCTCTTTGTCCACTGCCTTGGCTATTTCCTCCATCTGCTTCATTACCTTGCACTCTATTTTTCCTTTATCTAGGCATTGCATTGTCGTTTGTTTTTCTTGCACTTCGTCTTGCCATGATACCCTATATGTCAGTGGTATGGATCCTCCATATGATATTGTTTCCGGCAGTAGCTTCCACGAGGCTCCTGCGGAAACTTCCACTTCATTCCCTTGGTGTGCACCTATGTACACCACCAAAATCCTGTGAACAAAGGTAAAATTTGTTAGGATTTGTTTTCATCTTGAGCTACCGTTCCTCTCCATTTTTTCTCTGGCGATTATCTTATACTCCCTAGCTAATGTTTTACCCTATTTTTTCTATCCTATTTCTATTTTCCTACTCCATAGTTTTTGCTTATGTTTTATCTGTACAATCAGTCTTCTTCTTCCTCGTTTTCTGCTTCACTGCTTTCAATTTCTTCATCAATTTTTTCTTCGTCTTCTTCATCCTCATCAACTTCAGATTCTGCGTTTTCAGCTATATCTGTCTCATCTGCCCTTTCTTCAATAGGCGCAGCTTCTGTCCATGGATCGTAGTAGGGTAACATCCTACGCACGTGGACCGTATCCTTTTTTCTGCTTGCAATCTTTTGTACCTCGTAATTCACTTCTCCCATTTTTCTAATTACTTTGTATGGTCCAAACCATCTTAAGAGTAACTTTTCGCTTCTTCCAACTTTTCTAATTGGTATGAAAACCTTAACTTTGTCTCCAACTACGAAATCTAATTCTCTATGTCGTTCGTCAAAACGTCCCTTATCTTTTCCTTGTCTTTTTTGTATATTTTCTACTGCTATGGCTCTTATTAAGAGTGCCTTTTCTCTGGGCGGC